AGGGTCAGAAAAATGGGCCCAGATGCTGATGTCTACCCATTCTTGAGTAAGCCTGCTCTGGCCATTTGTAGCCAAATCTACACAAACCTAGAGACAGACGTGAAGACCACCTGGATAAAATATACCCGGGGAGCTAGGCTCCTGGGGCCTCTTTTTAAAATATAATCTTTTATCTCTTATTTTCCTTTCAGTGGTACATGTGCTGGTTGGTTGTACAGATAAATTCTGTGCTGAGGGATTTGATGTACAGATTATTTTGTCACCTAGGTAATAAGCATAGAATTTAATAGGTAGGTTTTCAATCCTTACCCTCATCTCAGCCTCCAGCCTCAAGTAGGCCCCAGTGTCTGTTGTTCTTTTCTTTTTGACCATGTGTACTCAGTGTTTAGCTCCCACTTAGAGGTGAGAACATGCGATGTTTGGTTTTCTTCTCCTGTGTTAGTTCACTGAGAATAATGGCCTCCATCTCCATCCATGTTGCTGTGAAGAGCATTATCTCATTGCTCGTAATGGCTGCAGAGGGTTTCATGGTACCACATTTTCTTTATCCACTCTGCCATTGATGGGCATTTAGATTGATTTTCTGTCTTTGCTATTGTGAATAGTGCTGCAAGGAACATACATGTGTGAACAATTTATTTTCTTTTGGGTATATACCTAGTAATGAGATTGCTGGGTCAAATGGTAGTTCTAAGTTCTACGAGAAATCACCAGACTGGTTTTCATTGTGGCTAAACTTATATTCTCACAAGTAGTGTGTAAGCATTCCCTTTTTTTCTGTAGCCTCACCAGAACCTGTTATTTTTTTACTTTTCAATGATAGCTATTCTGACACATGTGAGATGGTATCTCATAGTGGTTTTGATTTGCATTTCCCTGACAATTAGTGATGTTGAATATTTTTTCATCTATTTGTTAGCCATCTGTGCATGTTCTTTTGACAAATGTCCTTCAGATCTTTGATTTAATCTTTAATTAGATTATTTGTTTTTTATTGCTGTTTGAGATTCTTGTATATTCTGGATGTTAGTCCCTTGTTAGATGACTCATTTGAAAATACTTACACCTGTTCTTCAGATTGCCTCTTCACTCTGTTGGTTGTTTCCTTTGTTTGCAGGTTTTTCACTATAGTCTCAATGGTCTATTTGGGGGGTTTTGCCTATGCTTTTGAAGTCTTAGCCATAAAACCATTGCCTAGACCAATGTTGTGAAGCATTTATCCTGAGTTTTCTTCTAGTAATTTTATAATGTTGAATGCACCCATTCAGAGTGCATTTTATATATGGTGAGAGGTAAGAACCCAGTTTCATTATTCTGGATATCCAGTTTTTCCAGCACCATTTATTGAAAACGGTGTTCTTTCCCAAGTGTATCTTCTTGGCGCCTTTGTTGAAAATTAGTTGGCTGTAAATACGTGGATTTATTTCTCAGTTTTCAGTTCTGTTTCACTGATGTATCTGTTTGCATATCAACACTGCTGTTTTGAGTATGTGGCCTCCTAATATATTTCGAAGTCAGGTAATGTGATTTCTTCAGCTTCTTTGTTTTTGCTCAGGAGCGGTTTGGCTATTCGGAATCATTTTTAGGTTCCATACAAATTTTAGGATTGTTTTTTCCATTTCTGAGAAAAACAACATTATTCTGATAAGGATTGCATTGAATCTGTAGATTGCTTTGGGTTGTATGGTTATTTTAACAATATGATTTCTTCCAATTCATGGCCATGGGATGTCTGTCCATTTGTTTGTATCTTTTCCAATTCCTTTTATTAGTATTGTTTAGTGGTCCCCGTAGAGGTCTTTCTCCTCCTTGGTTAAATTTATTACTAGATATTTGATCTTTTGTTGCTATTTTAAGTGGGAGTGCTTTCTTGATAGTTGTTCGGCTAGTTCATTATTGGTGTATAGAAACACTATTGATTTTTGTATGCTGATTTCGTATCCTGCAACTTTGCTAATCTGTATATCTGTTCTAAATCTCTTTTGGTAGAGTCTTTAGGTTTATTTTTCTGTAAGATGAGGTCATCTACGAAGAGGGACCATTTGACTTTTTTTCCAATGTGGATGCCCTTTATTTCTTTCTCTCGCCCACTTGCTCTGGCTAGGACTTCTAGTACTGTGTTGCATATGAATGATGAAAGTGGGTATCCTTGTCTTGTTCCAGTTCTTAGAAGAAAGGCTTTCAGCTTTTCCCTATTCAATAGATGTAGGTTGTGGCTTTGTCATACGTGACCTTTATTATGTTGAGGGATGTTCCTTGTATGCCTGATTTGTGAGTTTTTCTCATGAAAGTATGTTGAATCTTATCACATGCTTTTCTGCATTTGTTGAGATACTTCTGTGTGTTTTCCCCTTTATTCTCTAAATGAGATTTAGCAGATGTATTAATTTGAATATATTGAGCCATCCTTATATCCCAGGAAGAAGTAAGTCCCAACTTATCGTGGTGTATTAATTTTTTTGTGCTATTGGATTCGGTTTGCTAGTATTTTGTGGAGGGTTTTTGCATCTATGTTCACCAGGGATATTGGCCTGTAGTTTTCTTTTTTCCTTTTTTTTTTTTTGGAATAGTTTGAGAAGAATTGGTATTAGTTTTAATGTAAATAATTAGAATTTGGTGGTAAAGATATTGGTTTGGGACTTTTTTGTGAACTTATTACTGGTTCAAGCTTGTTACCTGTTACTGCTCTGTCCAGGTCTTCTAGATTTTCCTTGTGAAATCCTGTAAGTTACATGTGTCGAGGAATTTATCAGTTTCCTCTAGGTTTTCCAATTGGTTGTCATATAGTTTTTCATAAATGTCCCTAATAATCATTTCTACTTCTGTGGTATCAGTTGCAAAATCTCCTGTTTTGTTTATGGTTTTATTTACTTGGATCTCTTCTCTGTTTTTCTTGTTTAGTATGTTTAGTATAAGTAGCAGTTTACCAGTTTTCTTTATCTTTTGAAAAACTGTTCAGCCTTTGTATTTTTTGTCTGCCTCTATTTCATTGAGTTCTGCTCTTATGTTTACTATGTCTTTCCTTCTACAAATTTTGACTTCACTTTGTTCTTTTTTTTGAGACAGAGTTTCGTTCCTGTTGCTCAGGCTGGAGTACAATGGCATGATCTCGGCTCACTGCAACGTCCGCCTCCCATGTTCAAGTGATTGTCCTGCCTCAGCCTCCCAAGTAGCTGGCATTACAGTCATGTGCCACCACACCCGGCTAATTTTGTATTTTTAGTAGAGACAGGGTTTCTCCATGTTGGTCAGGCTGGTCTCGAACTCCTGACCTCAGGTGATCTGTGTTTATTTGAAGCCTTTCTAGCTTTTTGATATAGGTGTTTGTTGATATAAATTTTCCTCTTAACACTACTCTTGCTGTATGCCATAGGTTTTGGTATTTTGTGTTTCATTTTTATTTGCTTTCATTGAAGACATTTTTTTATTTTCTTCATTTCTCCATTGACCCAGTATTCATTCATGAGCATGTTTAATTTCCATGTAACTGTATAGTTTCTAAAGTTTCTCTTGTTATTGATACCTATAATTCTCTTGTGGTCAGAGAAGATACTCTATATGATGTTGAGGTTTTAAAATTTATAGAGCACTTTACTATGGCCTAACATATGGTCCATCATAGAGAATGTCCTATGTGCTCATAAGAAGGATGTGTATTCTGCAGTTGTTTGAAGAAATGTTCTGTGTATTTCTCTTAGGTTCATTTGGTCTATAGAGCAGGTTATGTCTGATGTTTCTTTGTTAATCTTCTCTTTAGATGTGCTGTTCCCTTCTAAACATGGGCTGTTGAAGGATCCAGTGACTATTGCATTAGGGTATGCCTTTCTCTTTAGCTATAATGACATTTTCCTTATTGATCTGGGTGCTCAAGTGTTGGGTGTATTTATATTTATAATTGTTATATCCTCATGCTGAATGGATCGCTTTTTCATTATATAATGATCTTTGTCTCTTTTTATGTTTTTATGACTTAAAGTCCATTTTGCCTGGTGTAGGTACAGTTACTACTGCATGCTTTCAAAAGGTTTCAATTTGTATTGAATATTTTTTCCATCCCTTAACTTTCTGTGTGTGTCTGTGTGTGTCTTTACAGGTGAAGTGAGTTTTCTGTTGGCACTCAGGTGAAGTGAGTTTCTTGGGTATTGTTTTTTCATTCACTCGTCCAGGCTGTATCTTTTAATTGGCGAATTTAAGCCATTTACACTCAATGTTGTATTGATGGCTAAAGAGTTACTCCTGTCACTTTGTTAATTGTTTAATGTTTGTTTTGTGTATCTTTTGGTCCTTTCTCACTTTATATTGTTTATCTATATGAGTTAATGGTTTTCTGTAGTGGTAACATTGGATTCTTGTCTCTTTTTCAATTGTGTATCTGTTCTACCAGTCAGTTTTAGACTTTTGTGTATTTTCATAATGGTAGATATTGTCTCTTCGTTTTTCAGATTTAGGACCCTCATTTCTTCCAGGGCTGGCCTACACGTGAATTCTCTTGGTTCTTGCTTGTCTGAGAAAACTTTATTTCCCATTCCTTTTTGAAGAGTAGCTTTGCTGGGTATTATATTCTAGGCTCACAGCCTTTTTCTTTCAGCACTTTAAGTGTATCACCTACTTTCCATATGACATGTAAGGTTTCTGCTCAAGGGCCACCAAGCTTCTACTTACAGTCTCTTTAAAGCTCTTTGGATTTCATTCTTGTTCTTCTCCAGGTTCTTTTTTTCAGCCTCTGACTACCTGCTGGCACAAAGCTATCCTACTTGTTTCAGTACTTATTATTATTGATTTTTTTCATGGAAGCAACCCGTATTTAGTATTTGTATCTGTTATCTATTGCCTTATAATAAGCCACCTCAAAATTCAGTGTCTCAAAACAACACTTATTTTGTTCTGAACCTGCAGTTCTAGGCAAGGCTCCATGGGGCCAGCTCATTTCTCTTCCCTTGGCAATAGCTATGGTCACCTGAAGCTGAGGACTAGAATTATCTAAGGGTTTTTTTACTCACATTTGTGGCAGCTGAAGCTGGCTTTTGGCTGAGACTTTAGCTGGGACTGTCAGCTGGAATAGCTACATAACGATTCACCATGTGGCTTGGGCTTCCTCAGGATATATGGTGGCTGTATTCTAAGGACAAGCTTCTATAAAGAGAGAAAGTAAGCTGGAAGCTGTATTACATTTTCTAGCCTAATCTTTAGAAGTGACACCGCACTTCTATATATAATTATATATATATATAGTATATATATAGATATTCATATACAATATGATATAAAATTTATATTATTATATATATAATATATATTTCCATTGTATTAATTCACCAGAAGCTAGTTACTAAGGCCAGGTCATATTCAACAGAGGGAAATTCAAGGGAGAAATACGCGTTCAACCAATTAGTAGATGTATTTTAAAACCACCATACTGCTCACTTTTCTAAAATCAAATTCTTCACCAAGAGTCATTATCTATGAAAACAATGCAGAAGAAACATGAAAAATTTCAGAAGCTTAAAAAGAAGTTGGAGAAAGTAATAGTAAATCTCAGAAGTCATATGAAAAGAAATATGGTGGGAAGTGAACAATTTGAAGAATATAAAAGGGAGATAAAAGAACGAGCAAGACAGGAGACGATAAAAAATTAGGAGACCTGAATCTCTTCTTGGAGATTAGTTTATTTTTCTGATGGCGGGAAGAACACATACAGAGAGCTGGAGCTGAGGAAGGTCCCTGTGTTCTGCGTAGCCAACTTTGGCGAGATGCTAGAGCGAAGGGGCAGAGTATGGCAAGTGATGAGAGATGAGGCTGAATAACTTGACAGGAACCAAACTGATTTGGATGTTTTTACTCCATGCTAGGAATCTGGAACCTTTCCTGGGGGCAAAAGTAAACCAATGACAAAGTAAATGACTGGAGATTTAAAATGTCACCTGTCATGTGGCTGCCTTTGAACTGGAGTAGCCTGTTACTAGATGAGCCTGGAGTCTGTCTCTTGGCCTTAAATCACCACCATAAACCTGGGAAGTCGATGATTCCTTTGTTTTCTGAGAACAGTTTCAGTGTGCTGGCTGGCAGGTCCATAGGGATGGCAGAAGTGAAGAAAATGTAGAGCCAGAGGAAAAAAGATACACAGACTTCTTGAGATTTCTCTGAAGCTATGGAACATGATGAATTAACGACGGGTTAAGTATACTTTTCATTATAAATGTTAATGCTTTCACATCTTTCATTAGTGGTATGTATGAAAAAAATATTTAACATATTATCTATAAACCAAACAATAGAAAGGGATGCCATTTACTATTTATAGTTTATTTCAGAAATCAATGAATTTAATTTAATTAATAAACATTGGTAACATACCTTTTTGTATCTCTGTAGTTATACTGTCTTGCAACTCCTGCTGCATCTGTAATATGTAAAATATTATTTATAATGTTTAAGTTAAAAGACATTATTTTGAGAATGATACATCATTTATTAAGTCTTTCATATAAAAATTTCAGAGGCTAGATCGAACTTGAGAATTGCTTAAATAAAAAAAACCTCCATAAATAAAATTCCTTATTTTAAGTTTAGATAATAGAGAACATATATGTGTTATGTGGTTTGGATTAATCTGATAAAAATACAATTAATATTCCTATACTGAAATAGTAGATACTTTGTGGTGATAATGATATGATATCCAATACCTTCACAGATTTTAGGTATAAAGACATATTTTCCTAACAGGTTTAGGAATAGTTTGAGAGACAGTTTTCCATACCGTTTCTGTGACAAAAACCTCATAGATAGGCTTTATAAAATTAGTAAATGACAATAGCATCATCAGACAGGCCTTGTAGAATAACTCAGTATCAGATAAAGGGAGAAGCCTTTATTGGAGGAATCTTATATTATCTTTCATTAACGCTATGTAAAATGTAGAGTTTTACATGACTTGAACTAAGAAACTACTAATGTTATTATTTTCTTTTCTTCCAAAAGCTCTTCTCCTAAATATTTCCTACGTGTAATAGATTTTATTAGTTCATTATACCCCAGTCACAAATACTTTCATAATACATCCATTTTACTTAGATTAAAAATCAAATACTTTTCATGATAGACTGCTTACTGTTACCCTTACAAAAGTAAGCTAGAGAAAAGGAAATGTTAAGAAAATTATAAGGAAGATATAAAGTATATTTACAGTACTGCACTGAATTTATCAATACCGTAAGTTTACTTCATGTGTTTCTGAGATGAATCATCTGTCTGAAAATGCAGGCAAAGATACAGATCTCAAACTGTGGTACATATCAAGCAAATCAGCTTTTTCTTAGAATGTTATTTCTCTCCTTCTTGGAAGCACTTTATGCATCGCTAGTGGTACTTTCTTTGGGTTCTATGATTTACACTATTAAACTAAACATGATGAAAAATACAGGAAGTCCTAGCTAGAGCATTCAGACAAGAGAAAGAAACAAAGGGGATCTATTTGGAAAAGAAAAAGTAAAATTACCCGTGTTTGAAGATGATATAATTTTATATTTGGAAAACCTAAACACTCCCCCTAAGAACTGATAAACAAACAAATTCAGTAAAGTTGCAGGATAAAAAAATAAACATACAAAATCAGTAACCTTTGTATATACCAACATTGAACAATCTGAAAAAGAAATCACAAACTATTGTCATTTACAATAGCTCAAACAAAATAAGATATGTAGGAATACACTTCACCTAAGAAGTGAAAGACCTCTACAGTGAGAACTATAAAACATTGATTCAAGAAATGGAATAGGAGACAAAATTGAAGATATTCCATTTTCATGGATTGCAAGAATCCATATTGTTAAAATGTCCATCCTACCCAAAGCAATCCACAGTCAATGAAGTCCCTATCAACATACCAATGATATCTTCACAGAAATAGAAATAATAATCCTAAAATTTTCTGATGGAATCAGAAAACACCCAGAACAGCCAAAGTCATTCTGAGCAGAACAAAACTGAAGGAATTACATAACCTGACTTAAAATTATACTACAGAGCTATGGGTAACCAAAGCAGCATGGTAACTGGCATAACAAAAGACACATGGACCAGTACAACAGAATAGAGAGGCCAGAAATAAATTCATACACCTACAGGGAACTCACTTCAACAAAAATACCAAGAACATACCTTGGTGACAAGACAGTGTTTTCAATTAATGGGGCTGTGAAAACTGGATATCCATGTTTAGAAGATGAAACCAGACCCCTGTCTCTCATCACACACAAAAATCAAATGCATTACAGTCACACACAAAAATCAAATGCATTACAGACCTAAGTCTAAGATGTCGAACTATGAATCTAGAGAACACTTGGGAAACTTCAGAACATTGGTCTGAGCAAAGATTTCTTGAGTAATACCCCTGAAGCACAAGCAACCAGAGCAAAAATAGACAAATAGGATCATGTCAAACTCAAAAGCTTCTACACAGCAAAGGAGACAACCAACAAAGTCAGGAGATAACCCACAGAATGGGAGAAAATATTTGCAAACTATCCACCTGACAAGAGATTAATAACCAGAATATATAAGGAGATCAAACCACTCAATAGGAAAAAAAAACTCTAATAATCTGATTTTAAAATGGGCAAAATATCTCAATAGACATTTCTCAAAAGAAGAAATGACAAACAGGCACACAGTAGCATACAAATGGCAAATAGGTATATAGAAAGGTGCTCAACATCATTGATCATCAAGGAAATGCAAATCAAAACTACAATGAGATAACATCTCACCCCACTAGAAAGGGCTTTGATACAAAAGACAAGCAACAACAAATGCTGGCAAGGATACAGAGAAGAGGGAACCCTCATACACTGTTGTTGGGAATGTAGATTAGTAAAACCGCTATGGAGAACAGCGTGGAGCTTCCTCAAAAAACTAAAAAAACTGCCTTTGATCCAGCAATCCCCCTTTAACAGTCTTTGCTCCTGTACCCCATCAGGAGAGGCAGATGCTATAGCCAAGTATTATGAAGAGGTGGCTCAGCAGTTTGAGAAAAGCAGCATTATTTCTATATATCTGTCAGTTCCAGCTGCTATTATGCACAATTATATGATGGATCCAGTGTGGAAAGATGTTAAAGAGAACATTTGGGTATTTATCCAAAAGAATGGAAATCAGTATGTGCAAGAGATAATTGGTACTTCCAAGTTTACTGCAGCACTATTCACAATAGCCAAGATTTGGAAGCCAGCTATGTGACCATCAACAGGCAAATAGATAAAGAAGATTATGTATATATATATACACACACACACACACACACACACTACACACGCACATACGTACACACAATGGAGCACTATTCAACCATAGAAAAGAATGAGATACTGCATTTGCAACAACAATGAAGGAACTAGAGGTCATTATGTCCAGGGAAATAAGCCAGGCACAGAAAGACTTCTCACTCATTTATGGGAGCAAAAAATTAAAACAATGAAACTCATGAACACAGAGAATTGAATGAAGGTTACCAGAGGTTGGGAAGGGTAGTGGGGGTTGGGGGTAAGTGAGGATGGTTAATGGGTAAAAAAAATATATAGTTAGATAAAAATGAATAAGATCTACTACTTGATAGCACAACAGGGTGACTACAGTCATCATTAATTTAGTGTACATTTAAACATAAAACAGTATAATCGTAAGCTTTGTAACTCGAAGAAATGATGTTTGAGGTGAGGAATACATTTACCCTGATGTAATTATTATGCATTGATTGTATGCCTCTATCAAAATATCTCAGGTATTTTATAAATATATACCTACTATGCCTCATATAAATAATTTTAAAAAGAAAACTACATGAGTACCATGAGATCACTTTCACTGTGAAACATGATTTACCGGCAAGACAAACTCCTCCTGTGGAGATGATGGGCATCGCCTGGTGTTTTAAGTGGATACCCGCAACACTGGAGCTCACTGCAAAAGGAACAGGAGGGTGGATATGAGAACATTACAATAGTGTAATTAATACTCGATTAATAGGCTGAGTTTGAACACCCAGGTACACAGCATGGACACTGTAAAACTCGTAAGTGGGATCACATTATATGCAGATTGCAGATTTCGGCAATTCGACTTTTTTTTTTTTTTTTTTTGGAGACAGAGGCTTGCTGTCACCCAGGCCAGAGGGCAGTGGCGTGATCTCGGGTCACTACAACCTCTGCTTCCTGGGTTCAAGTGATTTTTCTGCCTCAGCTTCCCGAGTAGCTGGGATTACAAGCATGGGCCATCAGGCCCAACTAATTTTTGTATTTTTTTTATTTTTAGTAGAGACAGGGTTTCACCATATTGGCCAGGCTGGTCTCAAACTCCTAACGTCAAGTGATCCACCCACCTCGGCCTCCCAAAGTGTTGGAATTACAGGCGTGAGTGAGCCACTGCACCCAGCCTGCAATTTGATATATTTACTTGTCTTCAAGATCTTTCCTTTCTCATGGAGATACTTCAATTTTTATAAATATAGCTACATGAAATCTTTAATTGGCTTCAGTAACAAACTTGGCCTCTTTGGAAGGGCATTGGAACACAGATGCCATAAAAGAATTCTACATAATGAAATCTATTAATTATTCAGCATTTTAACAATCACAATTCAACAACTTACAGTGATCTGAAGGTCCTCAAGGTCCTAAATGACTTCTGAAATTAAATTATGTTCAGTAAAAAGCCGCTAAACTCTTTAGGTTTTGAATAAACCTAAGTAAACTACAATTTTGTTGCACTAAAATAATACCTATCTTAAAGGTGGTTTTCCTAAACTATTAGCCAATCTCTTTCTCTAAGCACTATTTTACCAGATTTTCAAGTTGATAAAAATAATGGTTATTCTCTCATTTGGTAAATACCACTTTATAACGAAGAAAACACTTCAAATACAAGACTTTATTTGTTTATTAATAAAGTAATTCATTATGACTTTTGAAAAAAAAAAGTTGTAAAATGTTCTGCGTACATGTCAATGTAGGTTAGGCCAGCCAAAAGACAAAGCAAAGCGTCAACATTAAGTCACAGGCTAGGATTATACAAATAAGAACAAATACACGGCTTATAGTACTTGTTAGGTAAACACAACCAAACTAAACTGTACTTCAAATTTGTTTATATAAAAGCATATTAAAGCTCACTTTAAAATAGTGTCCATCTTTTCTTTTAAACAGGCATAGACTCATTTGCAGTCATGTACAAATATACCTAATAGCTTTCTTCATCTTTTAATACAAGTGCAATTCCTTGCTTCTTTATGCAACCTAACAAAATAATATAGAATGAAGTCATTAGAAAAATATGAACCTTTCTGAATCTATATTACATTTTAATTTAAATTGGAAAATACAGTTTAGATCATATGAAACATATGGATTTCAGACATGTATTATCTGTTTCTAACAGATTATCAGAGATGGTCTTTATTTTGGCTGAAATGCAAAAATATGACTTTCTTAATAACAGATTAGTTAAAAATACTTTCCATTGATAGCAGTGCCAGTCCCTAGAACAAAAGGTAAGCAAAACTTATTTGTAAGTTACTGCCTATTCACTGCCCAGAATATGTAGATCCTAACTCTAAGCCCTTAATATACATCTGTTTTAAAGATAACTGAAAGGAGATCTCACATGCCTGATAATCCTTAATTTAAACAGTCCTGTAAACATAGTCAAAATCTGCTAATAGAAATACAATTCAAGTAAACATTGCATATTTGATTTAAACCACCTTACAGTTAAATTCACTCATGACACATTGGATCATAACCACTAATATGTAAAAAGTTTTTAAAAAATCATCCTTATGTATAGATGAAAATAAACTTTGTAAACTTGTTCATTTAAAATAACTAATGTACTGCAGCTGCTCTTTGGTTTGGCATGGTTTCAGGTACTGAATATTCAAGTAAATTTATTCCCAGGTAAACCACGTCTCCTAATTTGTTTTTAATGGCAATGGTAAGACCTGAACTTCATTTTTCTTAAGGTGTCATCACAAATGTTCAAGTGTTTGAAGGACCAAAGATAGTACTTATAAAATTTGACAGGGCTTCATTTTGATTTTTTCTCCCCAAATAGTTGATAGCAATAATCAATACCAGTTGAAATACCAAAGAGGCAGCCTTTCCCTGATTCCCACACCACTTGCAGGCCTTTGCTAGAATGGTCATTAATACGTATGAATCAGTTCAGCTAAATATTATTTAGAATGTGGCAAAATGCTGGCTGTAAATTAAACCAAAGATAAATAATTCAAAGGCTTTAACTGAAAATTTCTGAAAAGATGTTTGCTGTGCTATTATATTAAAGATGTTAAATAACAAAAATTAAAAGAACTGAGAAAGACTATACTACCATGAAAGTGCATAATAGTGAAGAAGAAAATAAAGTTTCCTTGGCGTTAGCCAGGTACATGCAAATCTTTCGATCTGAATGTAGAAATACTCACAGAAAGTACCAGGAGAACATTTCTGAAAGTAGTCACGTATGTTTAAACATTTATCTCCTTATAATATGCAAACTGCCAAACTGAAGTTATGTTTTTAGTTGGTAGTTGATATATATATTTTTTTGAGATGGAGTTTCACTCTTGTCACCCAGACTGGAGTGCACCAGACTCTTGGCTCACTGCAACCTCCGCCTCCTGGGTTTAAGTGATTCTCTTGCCTCCACCTCCCGAGTAGCTGGGAATACAGGACTGTGCCACCATGTCTGGACAGTTTTTGGGTTTTTTTTTTTTTATTTTTAGTAGAGAGAGGGTTTTGCCATTTTGACCAGGCTAATCTCAAACCCTGACCTCAGGTGATCCACCAGCCTCGGCCTCCAAAAAGTGCTGGGATTACAGGCATGAGCCACCATGCCCAGCAATAATTGATTATCTCTTAACTCTCATTCTAGTTTGCTGAAATCGAGATTATTAAGACTAAGGAGTTGAAACAAAGGTAGAAGAATCCATACTATAGTATTCCAAACTATGTTTTCAAAGCTAACTCATTCCTTTGGTTCAAAGAGAAAAATAGTTGCCTCCTTTTAAAATCTAATATTAGTATGGCTGATGGAAATTAGACCAAATTATAAACAACAAATTATAAACCTACAGTAGCAACCATAAAATTTATGCTGTACTAGGAAATGACAGAGCTATTCCTAGTGTATTGTTTAGCATATAGAAGGTACTCCAAAAAATTTACTGGGGCTGGGCGTGGTGGCTCATGCCTGTAATCCCAGCACTTTGGGAAGCAGAGGTGGGTGGATTATTTGAGGTCAGGAGTTCGTGACCAGCCTGGTCAACATGGTAAAACCTTGTCTCTTCTAAAAATGTAAAAATTAGCCGGGCCTGGTGGCATGAGCCTGTAATCCCAGCTACTTGAGAGGCTGAGGCAGGAGACTCTTGAACCCGGGAGGTGGAGGTTGCAGCGAGCCAAGATCCCACCACTGCACTCCTGCCTGAGAGACAGAGCAAGACTGCCTGGAAAAAAGAAGAAAAAAATTTACTGGGTGAATGAAAAGTGATTTTGCAAAATTAGGCATCGCAGAATGTTAGAAGTCATCCAGTCCAACTCATTCACAACACCCCTCCCCTGCAGTCCCATTTTACAGACAGGAAACTCCAACCTGTAGTACTCACAGATGCTGCTGAGATTCATCTCCACCCACCAACGGGAAGCAATCGATTATTTTGGGGTGGGTGTGTGGGGGTTTGTGTGTGTGTCTGACTAAAAGGTGTAAAGGTGGAGTAACATTTTGACATTGTTTATTCTGTACTTTTCTTTGGAGTTAGTGCAACAACTCCTGTCGCTGAGATTAGATTTAAAAGGAAAAAGAAATGTTTCTAGGCATAAAGGGGTTGCTGTTAGAAAGTCAGACTTGAGACTGTGCATCTAAGAGTAGAATCCACTTCTCAGAGACTGGGAATGTAAAATGACCACTCAGGTTAGACTTTCCAACTGAGAGCCAGGAGGAAAACTTAAAGTTTTTTTGCCTAGTTTGAATTGCATTTTAAGTCACTGTTTAAGTTGTTACAGTATTACTGTAAAAAAGTTTCAAAGTAATTTTTAGTCATTACCTACCCTGAAATTTGAAAGTCAAGTCAACAGCATGCTTTAGTCTAACTACTGTTAAAACTCAAACTATTCTTTTTTTAACAGATTACAATATTCCTTTAATTTTTTTTTTATTTTTTTTTGAGACAGAGTCTTGCTCTTAGCTTTTCTTCTGGACACTTACACTTCTTCCTATTGTGTCCAGTATTTCTCCAGCACATGTACCTTTGTGTTTCTCTGCCCATGTACACACCCCTGAAAGTTCAACAACAAAAGTTATAAAATAGCAGAGAGAACCCAAAATAGTTCTTATCCTACCGAGTTCCCTTTAAGCCTTGGGCACTTGTTCCACTACATGGTTGTATTAATGCTTATAACTAAGCCTTCGATGAATTAGACCAATGTGTTCTATGTTCTAAATGATATTTAGATATCTGAATCCTTCTGTTATGGCCAACAATAAAAGTTATTAAAAATATTGAAAAGTATAAAATAGTAATTATAAATTAGCAAATACCCAATTTAAAAAAGCATTTTCCTTATACAGTACAAGCAACAGTAATTTGAATATTATTCACTTTCAGCCACCATTTGTCCTAGATGTACTTTACTTTCAAGTTTTTAAGCTTGTGTTTTTAGAGTGAAAATGTATATGGATACTAATTCTAATAATGTAATTCAGGTATCAAAAAATACATATGCATGTTAAAATGTGATGACAGCTCGTATTATAGCATCTCATAACAGGTAAGTATTATTTCCAGAATAACATTAAGTCACTTTTGTAGCTCTAAGTCAATGCTGCACAAATGGACACTTAAGATTAAGGCATCGTTCCGCTCTGGAGCAGTGCTTCTGTGGATCCCAGGAACTGTACAAAGGCTTTCTTTTTTAAAAAATATATCTTCTGTTATACTTCAATTATTTCATTCCATTGATCATTTTCTTCCAAATGAAAATTGAAAATATCAGTCTATAATGTTTTCATACACCTACAAAAAAAGAAACAAATTGTTGGTTAAAACTTGATTTTTTAATTTCTGAAAATATTTACTAAATGGTTCTGTGGGCTAAGGTACAAAGCAACTAATATAACAAGATGGAATATAAGTAAGTCCTTAACACTACTAATATTATAATAATAAAGATTTTTGTAGCAGTAAATGAGCGGGTATTACTTTCTTCCCCTGAATCAATCAAAAGAGTATCTTAAAAGGGAGAATCTTACAGTACTCCCAGACTGCTAACTTGGACATCATTTGAGAAGACATCTGGTCCACCTACACCTGTCCTAAGACTGGTGCAAGATGTAGAAAACTTCCCACAGCAACTGTTAAAGGAACTGCAGCTGAGGATTCTCAACCACCACAAGCATCAGCAATTATTCCGCCCACATTAAGAAGAAACGTGGACCTCGGACTGCGGGCTTGTCTGGACACCAAGCTCTACACAGCTCCAGCTCTCGGTGACATGGACCTGGCTTACGATCACCACATGCGGGTCATACAGCTTCTCTCCTGACTGCAGCCACTCTGCCCAACGTGACCTCCACCCTGAGTGCCTGTGATCGGACTCTGTCCTGGGTCTTAGGCTCTGGCTGCAGCCCTGCACGCAGGCTCAAGGTCCTCTGCAAGGGCCTAACTGCTGAGGACAAGCCCACAAGTGAGGAAACAGATGCTCCTCTAGCTGACACTCCAGATAAGACGCCTTTAGAAAAACAAACTCTGTTATACAGGAACAGGATGATAAATGTGATAAGCTCCATGTTTGTGGTAATTTACTACTTAGCAGTCTTCTCTTGCTGTGTCTTTTACAAACCATATAACATAAATAAACCTCTTAATTCTTTTTTAGAGTCTTTGGTCATTTTTCTCTGGGCTGAATTTCCTCAATAGTGGACAAAAGTCGCTTTTTTTTTTTTTTCTTTTTTTTGAGACAGGACCTTGCTCTGTTACCCAGGCTGGAGTGCAGTGGTGCCATCTTGGCTCACTGCAGCCTCGACCTTCTGGGCTCAAGTGATCCTCCCACTTCGGCCTCCCTAGTAGCTGGGACTGCATGTGTGCATCAACACAAACCTGGCTAATTCTTTATTTTTTGTAGAGATGAGGTCTTACTATACAAATTTAAGTATCTCACCCAGGCTGGTCTCTCACTCCTGGGCTTAAGTGATCCTCCCACCTTGACCTCCCAAAGTGCTGGAATTAGAGGTGTGAGCCACCTTGCCTGGCCACCTTTTTATCTTTAATAAGGTACTGTTTACTGAAAAGGCCAGTGGTCCACATACCAGTCCTAAACTATTTTTATTAGTTTCTTCATTAATTTACCAACAAATAGTTACTACGATTGTGCTATAAGGAATAAAGAAAATGAGATTTTGGCAGATGTGACATTCCAGTCTTTCCTGTACTGCCTAATTTTGCTGATACAATTAAAAAGACTAAAAAAAAGAACTGCAAATTCTTTAAAGATTATGAAATATGAAAATAAGCTGCATTTATTCAAGGATTACCTTTACACTGTCTTACCTTGTTCTTATTCAAATGGTTAGTTATGAACAAGTGGTACTCAATTTTCTATTGCCACTGTTACATGGTTATTTGTCCCTGTAAGCACATAATTGTGTATGACATGACAAAAAAAAAAAAGAAGTATTAAGTTTCTGGCTAAATGGTAAAAATTGATTACAGCAAAAATGACTATTATGTAAATACAAAATAGGCTTATGGTGTCAACCATTTGTCTTCTTATAGAACGCAGAAGTAAAAAGCTAACATTAGGAGTCAAAAGTTTGATTTTATGTTTATCCTGTGGAAATACCCACTGGCTTTAAAGATGTTAAACAGCAATAATTAAGAAGTTCGCAAAATGAACTTTTCCCTAGAGCTTTATTTTTTAGAGATGGGCTTCAATACTATTGCCTAGGCTGGCCTTAAACTTCGGGATTTTTCCTTGACCTTATACAAAAGGTGTAATGATCCTAATGAAGATCCTAAAAATACTAATTTAAGAGAATGTTTTAAATGCTGCTAAAAGTCAAGACAACAAAAAAACTTCAGAAATTCTAACCGTGTTTTTAAGGGTATTTAGGGTATTTGCTACAGTTAGTACAAATGGAGCTAAATGTCTGGAATCGTTTTTCTTTTTCCTTTTTTTTTCTGAGACAGGGTCTTGCTCTGTCATCCAGGCTGAAGTACAGTGGCATGATCATAGCTCACCGTAGCTTCAATCTCCCAGGCTCAAGCAACCCTCTCGCCTCAGCCTCCTGAGTAGCTGGGACTACAGGCACATGCCATCAGGCCTAGAAAAATTTTTTCCCAAAGTTTTTGGTAGAGATAGGCTGTGTGGCCCAGGCTGGTCTCCAACTCCTGAGCTCAAGTGATCCTCCTGCCTCAGCCTCCTAAAGTGCTGGGATTACAGGTGTGAGCCACTGTGCCTGACCCAAAACCACTTTTCTATAGTGCAAGGAGATAATCACAGTGTTATTACTATTATCAATAAAAATTATCTCAGATGTGTTTTAGGCTGTAATGCTAGTTAAGTAGCCAGACAATATTTTAAACCCAGGTCTGATGAAAATTCCCACTTCAATTTTGCTGACTATTCCATACCTGAATCCTCAATTCATAAATGATTAAGAGTCACCTAAAAAAGGTTAAAATATATTCAGTGTGCTCTTTTTTTTCTTTCTTCCCCAAGAGGGAGTCTCACTCTGTCGCCCAGGCTGGAGTGCAGGGGTGCCATCTCGGCTCACTGCAACCTCCACCTCCCGGGTTCAAGCAATTCTCCTGCCTCGGCCTCCCGAGTAGCTGGGATTACAGGCATGTGCTACCACACCCGGCTAATTTTTGTATTCTTAGTAGAGATGGGGTTTCACCATGTTGGCCAGGCTGGTCTCTAACTCTTGACCATGTGATCTGCCCACCTTGGCCTCCCAAAGTGCTGGGATTACAGGCGTGAGTCACCGCGCCTGGCCAGTGTGCTCTTTTTAAACTAAGGCAGCAAAGAATGCAATGCTTTTCAAGAATTATTGTCAACTAAGCAAAAGCTGGGACCCTAAAGAATAACATTGCTGGCCAGACGCGGTGGCTCATGCCTATAATCCCAGCACTGAGGGAGGCTGAGGCGGGTGGATCATGAGGGCAGGAGATCAAGACCATCCTGGCCAACATGGTGAAACTCCGTCTCTACTAAAATACAAAAAACATTAGCGGGCGCAGTGGCAGGCGCCTGTAGTCCCAGCTACCTGGGAGGCTAAGGCAGGGGAATCGCTTGAACCCGGGAGGTGGAGGTTGCAGTGAGCAGAGATTGTGCCACTGCACTCAAGCCTGGTGACAAAGCGAGATTCCATCTCAAAAAAAAAAAAAAAGTATAACGTTGCTTATTCAGAACAGCCAATGCCAAAAGAACTTTCCACATCTGTGTGGGGAAGTATGTGGCCGGGTTAACAAAAACCTGCAGTTGCACAGAAAAAAACATGAGCCACTATACT